CACAAACAAAGCTTGACAAAGGATGCATTCCAGTTACAGGCTGACCAAGAAGGCCAGCTTTGTAGACTCAAATTCTCATTCATAACAAAGTAAATATTTATTTAAATACTCTTTTTAATAGGAGCCATGCAACTACTAAGAGGTAGAAGGAAAGTCTTACCATGTCTTTTCCCATTTCAGGTCTCAGAACATCATACAACATCTGCACATCAGGACAATGCATGTGTCCAACAACTGCAGTGTCACAAATTTAGAACTGTATCACCATATTTGTCTCATTGAATTTGCTGTGTATAATCTCATGTTCTTTTTTGGAGCACTGTTTAATGACCTTGCCCTCTGAGTGTTCTTCTGCAAGATAAAGAAGTGGACAGAAACCAGAGTGTATGTAATCAATTTAGTCTTTGCAGACTGCTTCGTCATCTGCATCTTACCTCCCATGGCTTATTTGCTCTGGACTAAGTCAACCTGAGATGAACTCTGCCAATTTATAGAGGCAATGTACTTTATCAACATGGTAGTGAGCATCTACACCATTTCATTTATCGCCACTGATCGATACATTGCCATAAAGCACCCCTTGAAAGCCAGGACCTTCGGGTCTTCATCAAAGGCTGCCGTTCTCTGTGGGCTTCTGTGGCTCTCCGTGATAATCAGTGCCATCTTACAGCTTCGGAAGAGGCACGCTGCTTTCTGCTTTCAGAGGGATACCACTGTGCCTGCTACTCTAAGACTGCTTTCAATTTTCTTCATTTTTACTCTTCCATTAGCAATCTTGACTTTTTGCTCCACAGAAATAATCAGGAACCTTAAGAGATGTCTGAACACAAATTCACCAGAGAAGAAATTAACTCAGAAAGCTCTCCATATTATTTATGCAAATCTGATTGTATTTCTAATACGTTTTCTGCCAGCCTGCCTTGGGGTACTTGCCAGGTTCATAATGGAGAGCGTTGGAGCTACCTGTTTCCTGCTCCAGGTCAGGAAGAACTTCTCTTCTGTGACGAGGTGTATTGCCACATCCAACTGCTGCCTGGATAGCATCTGCTACTACTTTGTGACCAAGGAGTTCCATGAAGCCCTTCTACTGCCCAAACCCTTGACTGAAAAAACAGATCAAACCCACCCCTTGCAGACACAAACTTGCTAAAGTAAGGCGGGGGGCAGAGGGGACATAAAAACCACCAAACCCAAAAAAACTCACAACAACTCTGTAACATCAAGAGAAGACACAGCTTCAGTGTTATTGGGACAACCGTTGCTCTCTCTGTCCGTGGAGATCTTTGTTAGGTTTAGCATTACTAAGTTAATTGTGACTTATACTCTAAGTTTCTATTAAACAAATAAGATATTTTACAGAGATGTGTAAAAGTGTGTGTGTAATCACAGAACATCTTCATTCCGCCCTCCAGCACCTACCTGTTACTCTTACAGCAAGACATGTAAGTCTCCCTGTTCTAATTCATTTTGTAGCTACAGTCAACTGATCCTTATTGCCAACACTTACAAAAGAATACATCATGTTTTATCTTGTGTATTTCAGGTTGTTTGCATTATTAAAATAATCTGGTTTATTCATATTCCTTTGGCAGGCTGGGAGGGGTTCAGGCAGCACCAACATATTACTAAGTACATGGCCCTACAAAACAGCCTAGACTCAGTATACTGACTGCCCTTCCCCTTCAAATCAATGGGTCAGATACATGTGAAGGAATACTTTTAGGATGAAAGCAAGACTTTTCCAGTGCCATAAAGGCACAAAGTTCGGGAGATTTCAGAGCTGAGTCCTTCTGCAGCTCCCCTCCTGCTCCACTGCTGAGCTCTGGCACTGAGACACCTCCTTAGAGCAGCCATCCTCAAGGTGCTGCTGCTCCCACCCGTGGGGAAGCCCTTTTAGCTCTGTCTAGACCTTTGCCACCTGTGCATTTCTATTCCTCGGGTTTATGTTGTGGCACCAGGCTGGCCCCCAAGTTCACCCTCCTGCCTGCAGCTCAGGGTCAGAGTATCACCCACTGCCAGCTGGATGCCACAGCTGGGTCCGGGTTTCCACAGCCTGCCCACATTGACCCCCTAAAGTTTGCATGGGGAAATGCATTTGCACATGAGTCATCAGCCTGGAAAAGTCAGGCAAGATGGGGAGTGGGTTGACTCCCTACATGTTATTCAAATGCTCCCTAGGACTGGGCTTTTTTCTTTCTAAGTATTCAAAAATCTCCAAAATGACCTTCGAGCTCTGCCCAGGCAATTCTCAGAGCACTCCAGGAGACAGCATGAAGGAGTCTTCCCTGCCCACCTACACAGTTTCCCCTGTGACCCACATCTGCCTCCAGGGAGCCCATGGCTGCTGCTTAATCCACTGTTGTCACCTTTGGGACCTCGAGCTCAGGAGACATGAATTAATGGGACAAATCCTGAGGGAGTCAGTCTGGCTCCCATCAGCTGCCTTACATAGATGGGACTGCAGCTGCTGCAGCCAACAGATAGCAAAAGCCACCAAAATGACTATAAAATACCACTGGGGCATGTTCTTAAACATGTTTCTAAAGGTTTTGAAACCTATGGTGTGCTCACTACCACACCTGTACCTCTCGCTTGTGCCCAGTTGGCAGTGACTGTCATTACCAGCTTGGGCTTTCCAGTGATGCTGAGGAGCAGTGTTAGACATCTGGCTGCTTCGCAGAGGATGAGCAGGCCTATAATGTCTGTCACCTGTCTTGTTAAGACACCGAAGAGAAGCATTCTGGATCCTCTCACCCTGGGCTCACTGTCACGGGGTGCACAGGCACCGATGTGCCCCCTTGGAAAGGCCATTGGCCCCTGCACTGCTGCCTGCCTGGGACATGCTCTGCAACAATACTGGAGGCTGCATGGGTTGCTGTGCTCCCCAAGGGACCTTTCACTGCCAGAAGGGCAATTTGCAACCATTATGGGTTTTATTTCAGAAAGCATTTGTTTTCTCACAACTGAAAATACTAAATTTTAATTGCTAATTTGTGTGATGTCAGTCGGGGGAGCGCAGACTGGGTGGAAAAAACGATGGTGAAGCATTGAGCTGATGCAAGTAGAACAACAGAGGGCACCAGAGACTTGACTGTCCCAAAAAGTAGGTGATAAACGAAGCACTTTTGGGGAACAAGAGTTCATTGCTGTGTTTCAGCCGTCCCGAGCTGTCAACAGCAGGCTCCCGGGCAGCCGTGCCCTGCGTGGAGCAGCACCCTGCACCGACATCCACGGCCTCAACAGATCCTCCCCTGCCAGGACGCCCACGTCTACACTGCAACCTTTCTGAGGACTAAACCCCCCTGACAGCCCCACAAGAAGCAGGTAATGTCTTTTAGTTCTTCCCACACTGGTGCTCTGCTCAGTGCTTCAGGGTGTGCTTTCTCACCTCTTAACAGAAGTGCTAGCCAGGGCTGCCTGCTGGTTAATGTAAGGGTCAATCCTCAGCTGCGCACAGCTGTTTTACCTCACTGTTTCACAGCCACACATGTCATTCGGGGGGGGTCTTCATCCCTTGCTGTGGTTTTACATAAGTACTTCTTACCACGATGCTTCTGTGAGCACACTACAGCACGGACCTTAGGAACCACTGCTGGCTCTGTGCTTGCATGGGTGTGATTTGATGGGGCTAGGACGCCCAGCCCAGCCCGGAGGGCTCAGCTGCTCCTCAGGGCAGTACCATGTTGCAGAGAGTGGCTTTTTCAGAGGGATGAGTGCAGCAGCCTGGCAGGTAACGGCTGCAGCGTAGGTGGTACCACATTGCAGCCAAGGACCTGTGAGGCTGAAAGCCCAAGAGAGCCACGACACTGGCTGCATGTTAGCTCCTCCATAAATTCCACCCTAAAAATGACTGTATCCATGTAGTTCAGTAATGTCATACCAGTTCTGGTGTTAGGGCAGGTGCTGCATTTTCCTCTGTGATTGCCAGATCTGTCTCTAGTCTGGGAAACTAGAAAGAGTTCACTTAGTTCACACAATTGGACATTTTCTCTGCAGTTTAGATGTTGATGCTCAGAAGCCCCTGACTTACAAGGCAATGTATTTATAAGAGATTGTAGGAATCTGTGTGTTTTCCTTTCCTGCCTCACTGTAAACATTTCCTTTAGGAGCTGCAGACTAAGTCTGAGTCATCCTCTGCAGCCTCCTTGCTGGTAGCAGATTCCCTGAAATATTTAAAGGAATACCAGGAGATAGTCTAAGCTCTCAGATTTGTGTTTTCTGCTCTAGCAATATTTTGGCTTCCTGGCTTTGAAGGTTGAGATCAGACATGTGCTCACTTTGCCTTCTCTCTTTGGAGACCTGTTATCTGCTAGGGGTCATGGTACTCATGCTACTCCTCCCCAGCATCCCGCAGTGAGAGGAGTGGGTTCGTGCTTGGGGGCAGCCTGCCCAGAGCAGGCACCCACCCACCAGCCTGCAGCAGCGTTTTCACTGTCCCCAGGAGTAAAGCCACCTGAGCTATCCCATGGCTGGAATGGCTCAAGTCCTGGGGAGGTTCACAGGCCTGGCATGACCTTGTGGCTCTTGACAAGACCTCAAGACTCATGGGCCGGCTTCAGCAGCAAAGCAAGAGCCTTGGAGGGCAAAGGGGGAATGCTGCCCAGCTCTGCTTCAGGCTGCCCTGAAGTCAGGGGCTCTCTGATAACCATAGCAGCAGCAAAGATAAGGGACCACAAAAATTATCATTCTGCTTTGCAGACCTTTTCCTATTACCCAAACTGTGTGAACCAGGAGTGGACGGAGGGCAAGGCAGGCCTGTAATAACTGCAAGAGAGGGTTGCCTTTGTGTCTTTGTGTTAGCTGGTGGCGAGTAATAGTGTTACTTTGATGGTTGAGGGATAGACGGTGCTAATGAGGCACCGAGCCCCTCCAGGGGCTGCCTACATATGCAGTGCAGGGGCCTGAGAAGCTGCAGAGCCATGCAGCAGGACCCAGTTGAGGGCACCCATCCCTGAGCTCGGTTTCATACCTGCACCCTTGTCTTGCAGAGACAGCCCAACATGGAGAACTGCACCGAAGATGACGACACACAGCAGAATGGCACTGTACTATTTCAACTGATCGTCTACATCCCAGTGCTCTCTTTGGGGATCCCACTGAACATGATTGCCTTCTGGGTCTTCTGCTTCAAACTCAAAAGGTGGACCGAGACCAGGGTGTACATGATCAACCTTGTGGTCGCAGACAGTTTCCTGCTCTTTGCCCTGCCCTTCCTGATATATTTTACCACATACAACCATCCCATAGACAATCTGTGTTTCACCATACTGAATATCTATTTTACAAACATGCCTATGAGCATCCTTATCATCACCCTGATTGCAATTGATCGATACATTGCAATCAAGTTCCCTCTAAAAGCAATGATTCTTCGATCCCCACTGAAATCAGCTTCTCTCTGTGGGATTCTTTGGATAATGCTGATATTTTATTCCTACTTGCACCCAAAATTTCATGACAGAAAAGAACGATTCTGCCTTCGGAAACAATCTATTCAACCTAATTATTCATCATTATTCTCCACTATCTTTGGGTATTTTATTCCCTTAGGGATTGTGATTTTTTGCTCAGTACAAGTCATCAAACGTCTCAAAAAGAAGATGGCCACAAGTCCTCATGAGACAAAGTTATTCCAGAAAGCAATCCACATTGTTTCTGTGAATTTATGTGTGTTCATCGTATGTTTTTCACCTTTGTACATCACACTGCTCTTGCGGTTTGCAGTGGATGTTACTGGAGCTTGTTCTCTGCTCTCAGAAATTAGAGCCTCTATTCAGATCTGTGCATGCTTAGCAAATTCTAACTGCTGTTTAGATGCATTTTGCTATTACTTTGCAGCCAAGGAATTTCAGGAGTTTCCTTCTCTGTTCCCCACCTGTATACCAATGAGGTTCAAAATGAACCAAAACCAAGAGTCACAGCCATCCACAGATAAAGTCATGACACAAACAAGGACTAGTGCACTATAGGTGTAAAGAGCTAAACTCCTGTTGAAGTTTTGAGGCAGAGGGAATAAGATGACCTACAGTATTGCAATCATTGTAGGTATAGGCATACGAGGAAAAAAGGGCAACCCCCTCCAAGAGGTCTGATATTAACTTGAATTTTGTCCTGCTGTCCTCAGTGACTTGACTCTAGCTCTGTCTTGGATCATTGTATTGCAGCTTCAGGCATCTCCTGGTCAAGAGAGAGACCCAGGTGGTATGGAGAATAGATGCTAAGGCCATTGTCTCTGCCGTGCACTTATTTGTACATATCATGCAGCTAAACAGGAAACTGAGCACCCATACAGCAATACACAAAGCCACTTCTGGTACTGTATATGGTCAGAGAATCATAGAATCACAGAATGGTTTGGGTTGGAAGGGACCTTAAAGATCATCTAGTTCCAACCTCCCTGCCACGGGCAGGGACATCTTCCACCAGGTTGCTCAAAGCCCCATCCAGCCTGGCCTTGAACACTGCCAGGGAGGGGGCAGCCACAGCTTCTCTGGGCAACCTGTTCCACTGTCTCACCACCCTCACAGAAAGAATTTATTCCTAATATCTAATCTATATCTACCTTCTTTCATGTAAGAACAAGAAAAATGCCAGACCAAATCATCTGTGCTGCTCACGTCAAAGAATCTGCCTGTACAGTGGTATTTTCCTGCCAACCTACACAATTTCAAAGCTTGCTGCTGTTGCCAGGATGTAGCTATTGCTGTGCATGGAGTAAACTGCAGGAGTCAGACAGTGGCCTGAGACTATTGCCCCATTCATGCCATATAACACTTTTGTTAGCTTGCAGCAACGCCCTGGCATTTGTAAGACCAAAATCATTGTGGGTATAAAAAAAGCCACTAGTGCATGGAAAAACTATACTATGCAAACCATTGTGGACCACAGAACAGACCCTTAGCATTGTGCATATCAAGTATAAAGCTATGAAGATCTGATCTCACCCAAGCGACTGCCATAAGCCCTAGTGACAGATTTGTTGTTGTACTTTAATGGCATCAAATCTTCAATGGGTGTCCTGTCTGGTGACAGGTGATCACATCTGCCTGAGTTGTCACAGCCTCTTGCTGCAGGAGTGTTGATGCCCAGAAAACATCAGTGAGCAACACGAAGCAGATGCACCTCCCTCATCATCCATGGGAAATTTTCAGGGGAGGTTCAGTGAGAGTGGGGTGCGTAAGGCCCTTCTGCAGAGATATGGCAGACCCATGGCTGAGGGCTTCTCTTCACTGCCCTGTGTGATGAAGCATTGCTTTGGATTTGGGTTTTTTTTCCTCTTTCAGCTGCTTGGACAGTGCACATCAGGTGTTCAACAGCTCTCCTGAATTCGTTTTGAGACATTTAACTCTTTCCATGAATTATACAGAAAGCCTTGACCTATCCTAGCTGGATCCCAGTCCAGGCATCAGTTTTAATGTCTGGCTTTCCAGGTACCAAATACCTCTATAATATCTGTGCTTGCTGACTATGCACCATGTATCTTCCCACCCTACAGGGAAATGACAACGGAGCAGCTCAAAACAGTTAAGCCACAAAGGGAGATCTTGGGGCACCGGAAGGAAGAGACCCATAGAGAAACCTGGGCTGAGAGGGGAGCCAGTGCCAGAGTGTGACTACTTTGTATTTGTCTGCATAGAAATTTCATCTAACATTTTACCACCTGGTCACTTCAATAACTTAAAGTCAGCATGGGAAACATTACAGAGTATTTGAAATGTATGTGATAGCTGTATCTCAGTTGGCTTCATGGTCCTTGACTACCAGTGTCTTCTGACTTGTAAACCCCTAAAAAATTCTTCTAGAGAATGCAAGCCCATGTTCTGCTCATTTAAACCTACAGACAATTAACTTTCTTAGCAAGAACTTACAAGTAGTTCCCCTACAAGTGCCCTGTCACCTTCTAGTGTCTGCAGACCACGTGCTGAAACCCCCATCTAGATATTGGCTAAATAACATCAGAAACAACTATTCCCGTTACAGAAAGTTCTCCCCATCCAAATATCAGATCTACCTGCTTTGTGTCAATACTTTGGCAGAGGCCCCAGCATGATGGAAGCTGCAGTGAGCAGCTGCAGCATAAAAAAGCATGCAACTACCCAGGTCATTCAGCTGATCATCTATGTTCCCACTTTCTTCTTCAATGTATTATTTAATGCTCTGGCATTACTGGCATTTCACTGCAAGCAGAGCAAAAGGGCCGTGTGTGTATGTGACCAGCTTAATCACTGCAGACCGTTTGGCCCTTATTCTGCCTTTTAATCCCTTTTCAAGGGCAGGGAAAAATACAAGAGGCAAATAGTGCCTGATCTTAAAAACAATCTATTGCTTAAGGAAATGAGTGAGTGTTGTCACCCTTGTAGCTGTCAACAAAGATGCTGCAATTAACTATCCTCAGAGATATCCATTCTCCTTTATGGTGTGCCATTGATCTTCATGACAGGCATCACTTACCAGGCAAGTGGTGTTCAGTAAGGAAAAAGACTTCTGTTTTCAGAAACAGCACATATGGCCTTCAACACTTTTGACTCTGGGGTCCCCTTCTGGGATTCTGCACCTCAGTGGATATAATGAATGCCTGTTCCAAACAGATTATTAAGAATTTTTTATTATTTTGAAAAAAGATGAATTAATATCAACCTGTTACCCTACTGTTAATCCAGAAAGCAAACAACTTACTGCTTTCGCAAACTCAGTCATGTTCATGCTTTTTCCCTGTTAATATGGGCACCTTGTTAACAACTCCAACTAGGTCGTCTACTCTGAAATATGAAACAGCATTGCTTTTGTGTATGTGACTTCATAGTATAGCAAACCCTAACTGCTGTGGGGTGCAATTTGCTACTGTTTTGTAACAAAAAAATTTCAGAGCACTTTCTTCTTACCCAAGCCTATAGTTTTTAAATCAAGGAAGGATCACAAACAAAGCACTCTATCAAACTAAACAGCTGCCATGGTTTCACCCCAGCCAGCAGCTAAACATCACACAGCCGCTCGCTTACTCCCTGTTGGTGCCAGAACTAGTACAATAGCTGCGCTGAAGAATTTATAGTTGGCATTCCTATAGATAGCCAAGCTTACTGCATATAGTAATGAAGTGAATGTATGAAGTGAATGTTTTTTTCTTGTAGGAATCAAACTGAGGTCCTCACTGTTCATGTCCTAAATTAAAAAAAAACTATGTGCTCCTTTTTCTTATTGTAAAGTGGAAATTCGTTGAATTCACAATCCCTGCCATCACTAAGTAATATTTTTGTTGTTTGTACGAATGCTACGAAAATAAAAAAGGAAACATTATTTTGCAAGTGAAAATAAAGATATCTCATAGTATTATATCTATAAATATATATTTTTTTATTACCATTATACATGACAGTCCTCTACTATTAACACTAAACCTAGAGATTATGAGAGGAGACTTAGCTACCATTATGTAAGATCTGCCTTACAACAGAATATTTATAATGCAACCCAAAGATGAGCAAGGAACTTTCTGATTACCTGAAGATATATGCACTACCTTGGACAAAAATGATTATCTGGTTTACATGCCAGGTTATAATTATGTTTATGATGTGTTTCTGACACCTTTCTTCAGTCTGAACAAAACCTCAGCTCCCTGAGTGCTGCCAGTAAATGGAACAGATGTGTTATCAGCACCTGGAGCACAACAAACTACCAGCCATCATACAACACTGGAATAGTAATCCATGAGCACAGCAACATGGTTATCCCCAAATCTTTCCCATTTCCTAGAACAAGAGTCTGGCTAATGATAGTGGGGAGCAGCAGCCACAGTCCGTCATCAGCTCCCACAAGCAAGGCTGGACCACTGCATTCTGCTAACATTTCAGCAAGATATAATCTCTCTGTCCCTTAAAACAAAAAGCTGCTAACAATGGCTTAAAGTTTAAATGAGCAAATTGATGCTGCACTCACAATTTTGGCTTGAGAAGAAAAAAAAAACAACAACAAAACCAAAACGAACAAACAACCAACCCCCCCCAAACCACAGGCAAAAGCCTACAAAGTAATCCAGAATCTTGCTTCTGAGTGAGTAGCCATCAGATTTAGCATTTTGGGCCTTTCTAAGCAGGGAAGGCAGAGGCTGGCATAAGACAGTATTTCACTATCTTATGGCATCTGGGCAGGCCTGAAATCTGAAATCAGGTTCTCACCAAAGGTTTGGACTCCAGCAGCACTCCCCTCCTGGGGGTGAAGGACACATATCAAGGACTTCTGCATTTTAGTAAGTGGGTTGCTGCTTTCAGGTTTTGGAGGTATCTCTGCACTTTTGATTTCTCAGTGCAGCGAAGTTGTTCCAAATGCAAGCATTGCCCGGCAGTCTCCAGTGGACTCTACAAGCACTGAAGCAGCAGTAGGCAGCTGCGAAGTAAGCAGCTACAAGCAGGCAGCTGTGTCCTCCCCAGTACGTTTGCACAGGTATACACAGCCAATCCCTTCAGTGTTGATGCTGCAGGAGTGCATTATCTGCCATGGCTCAGTTCCTGTGTGGTGCTGAGGAAGAGGAAAGGAGAAACAGTGTCAGCAGCCAGGGTTGGTCATTGTCTGGGGTTGATGCAATTAGCCTAACGCTGCCATTTCATAGGCTTCTCATGCCAAAAATAAGACTGACACATTCCGCTCCCAACCCTGTAGTTCTGTTTTGGTCAAGATCTGCTACTGCAACACCATGTCTTCCTGCGAAAAAGCCAGGGAAAAAAAAACACGTGGGGCAGAGGCCCTGCAGAATACCACAGGGTAGTGCGGTCCCCCTCACATGTTTGGCGGGGGTACCGGTACCGCTCTCACCTTGCCAGAGGCCTTGTCCCACTGTGATGTGCCAGCAGCTGTAGTCAGCAGTGCACAGCCTCTGCGGGGGCAGAGGAGACTGAGATCTTGCCTGTCAGGAAAAGGAGGCAGGAGCCCATCAAACCTTAGCTGTCTTGTCTATTAGCATGCTGCACCAGGAACATAAGAAAACCTCGTGAAAAGGACTTTCTTTGACTGGGAAACAACCTCAAGCAGGACATCAGGCAGAGCTTAAAAAGTAAAGAAAAATTATTGGGCAAAACAGAAATAACTCTTAGAGATAAAGAAGTGTAAAGATCAAACTGATCTTAGCAAATTCTTCTCTAGATACTAAAATCTACCTACAAATTACAAGGAAAGAAGTGAGATCACCTAGTACTCCTGCTGATAAAAACAACAAAATTGTCCGGGTATGTCCTGGAAACTACCTGATTACTTTGTCACAGCTTTCAATAAGGATGACGAACCCGAGAAATCCAGAATTTTAAAGGAATTGGCACATGAAATGTCACACCAGCAACAAGGCTTTTTAAATAAGTCAGCCAAAATAGGATCATGGGGCAGAGACCACCAAACACAGTCCCTTCTTTAGGATGGGGGAAGAAAGGGCAATGTCTGGCCAGATTTTCAGATATGCTCATATGTGAAAAATGTGCAGTTTCACAACATGTCTGAATAACATTAAATGGGAGGGAACAAATAGAAAGGCAAAAGTTAAGTGCTGCATCACCTCAGAGAAGCATTTTGCCTCAGTGGCTTCTTTCACTAGGAAAATCGCTTTTCCAGCCAAAGTGTGTCAGTAAAAGGTCCTTTGGAGCACATTGTGAGTGGTAATCCACTTTGTACAGGCACTGGTATTCAGCAGTGCCGCAGGCCCCCGGACTACCGCACCAGAGAGCTACCAGCAAGGAAGTGAGAAAACAGCATGCGTGTCACCTACACTGCACAACATGGTGACAGCACACACAGGGCTGAGACAGGCTGAGAACTGCAGAGGTAGGGGAGAATACCAAGTGAGCATCATTGGTCCATGGCAGAGATGATAAAACCTGATACTGGCTGGAAGAGGAAGGCCATAAGCAGCAACAAGAGCCTAGAGGTGTCTGGTTGGGAGCTGAGGTGGAGAGAAGCATGAGCATCCTGACCCAGCAGTGTCCACGAATCAGACAGGGACCTGAGAGCCACACCAGGAGACAAGCAATTTCTCCACAGATAATGCTTCATCATAGCTTTGCCTACTGGTAGCTGGTGTCCAGTTGCTCTGACATATCCTGGTGAACCTGCTGATCACAGCCAGCTGCTTTGTGCCTCGTGACATGGTTTGTCCCTCCTTTGAAGCCTCACTGGACTGATGTGAGACATAGCTGCCCTCATCTAGCAACCACAGCACCAAGCTGTGGATGGGAAGCATCACGCTGGAGAGATAGTGTGAGCTGAGCTCCCTCCAGCCTTGACTTTGACTGCACATGGTTAACACTGGTAGTAATTGCTTTGACACAGACAATAGGAGTGTGTGTGGACAACACTTGAGGATGATGCAAAGCAAAGTGTTTTCTGTACAGTAGTGAAACTATCACAACCCAGGAGCGGGTTGACTTTGAAAACTAAAGTACTAACAAGGACCATGACATGAAAATGGTGGTGGTTGGGGATCAACGAGCTGAGTGTACTAATAGGTCAGTAACTACTTATAAGCATTCAGAAGAAAAGCAAAAGCAGTCCCTGGGAATTCAGAAGTATGTAAGCTAAGCTCTGTACTGACTATATGCTGGCAAGGGATTGATCTCAAAGACTGGTTTGCAATGCACAGACAGGCAATGCAGAAACAGTCCTGAAGCTGCTCTAAGGTGGCCTGGTAAGTGGGAAAGGGAAATGTGTTTGCCCAGGACAGCAATTCAGGGTAGTAACAGTGGGACCTTTGAGCTTGTCGATCAACTTGCCTGAGCTCTTGTGAATGGGTTGCAATGGACAGCCAAGAAGGAACCCCTGGCCAGCAGACACCTGTGACTGCAGAGCAGTCACAAAGTCAGCAGGTCACAGGGTCACAGTGCCACGTTTTCTGAGAATTGCTGGCGAGACGAGAACTATGGAAGACAAGAGAATTACCATGATTCAGAGCGAAATCCAGTTATAATAATCACAAAACTGTCTGCAAACTTCACCCCTCCCCTCTTCAACAGCTCTGTGAATGGGACTGAGGGCCTGCTGGGACTACTCTGTTCTGGGGCTCAGCAGTGTGATAGCAGAAGGGGCAGTCTAGAAGGCAGAGAGATCTTATGACCCTCCAGAATAATTGCTCCCCTCCAAGCAATGTGCACAGCCTGTTGGGTGAGAAATGTCAATGGGCACTGCCCAGTGAGACGTCAGGCACTGGAAAGTAAATCAAAGGAAAAACCCAAAGCCATTCAATCACCAGAGGAACTGTTGCAGGGCCACACGGAAGATGAGCATTTCACCTTGCTGCAGGGCTATTGCAGGCTCCTCAGTCAACAGGGGGTGGTACGAGCCACATCAGTGGCGACAGAGAAAGCTCAGCCTCCAGGACATGTTGAGGAGGGGCAGGGGTGCTTCCTCCACCAACGTTGCTGCTGTCACAGCCACCGGCAAATGGTCATCGCAGGACACCTTGCTGGTTGCATGCCAGGACAACCACTAGAAGGGCTCATTGTGCCTGCACGTCACACCGCAGCTGGTCTGGAGGAACATTCACTTTCTCCAAGGACAGCAAGCAAGCAGGTAATTCCTCCTGGCTATTTGCTGACCTGGTTATTTGAGCTCTGCAAGGCACTGCCTTTCCCCAGCTGTGGTGGGACACCAAAATGGTGGTGGAGAAACTGATAGAGGGATGGAGCCCGTGTATTTTCAAAGGCTTATTTTGATACTGGCCACATTGGACATATTTTGGATGCTTAATGGCTGTCTCAGCATTTGCTAGATCTCCCTGTTGTCTGCCATGATCTACCCTTGTATCTTCTGGACTTGTAACTCCAGAGCTGCTGCAGGTATCGGCTGTAGCATATTCTCTCACGTCCAAAGAGGTCTTCTGGCACGATTCCTCAGCAGCATGAATTTCAAAGCTATCCAAGAGATGCAGATGTACGTAGAGGCTGCAGCACTGCCCTATGGTTTGCTCACTCGGGGTGCTTTCAAGCCCTGGGAACCTGCACCCGTGGAGTCATGTTCCCCTTGCAGGGAAAATCCAAAGACATCTCAGACCTCCCGGGTCTTTTCTGTCCATGAACAGTTGCACCTGGAATACACTCCTGCAGTAACTCCTCCTAAGCATGACGGCAAAAAACAATATTGCCGTTAGATCCAGGGTGATAAAACCACACACTAGACCAGATACAGCTCATATCTCTATTTCACGTGGCTGCTGATCACATTTCTTGCCATGGCATTGGTGGGGTTTTTTTTGTCTTGGAATTGTTGGAGATTGCTCAAATACTTCTGAGACAAAGACCAACTTTGACGATCCTTGAAAAGCAGAATGCAGACCGCAGTCCTCTGATTCTTGCTGCAGACGACTAAATGCCACCACTGAGTACAGGATTCAACAGCAGCTAAAACTAATGAGAATTGTACTAATAATTACTCTTATCACTAATGAGAAGTGATGCAGAGACCGCTCAGGACTGAAGGCGAGGACAGCTGTCTTTTTGCTACACCTCCGGCAGCATTTTGAGCTGTGAAGATGCTGGCTGGCTTCTCCTGAACACTACTATAAGGGAAGGAATGAGAGCTGGGTTTAGGCATCCCCTTTCCATTATCAGATAGTTGCAACAGCTCACATAAATCCTATCTGCAGGATAGCTGCTGCTGCCTGATTCAAGTCGGGCCTAAAACAGAGGCCCAAGTGCTTTCTTCTGCTGCCCTTCATAAGAAGTCTTCCCCACATGGGAAGTGGGGAAGTGAGTCCCCCCCTCATGGGACTGCTCTTTTCTCTCCTCCATAACTGATCATGCTCATGTCCCCCTCAGTACCCTACAGCCAGCTCTGCTCTGAAGAATCATCTCCATGGTCTGTTTTTCACTATTGGTAAAGCCCTAAACAATCTGAATTAATCACCGATTCTGTCACGAGTCTAGCTTCTAAAAGGTTTAATCTTCTTTTGTAGGAACTGTACCCCCATAATGAACCTCAGCAGCTGCAGTATCACAGCCTATGAAAGCTTTCCACTTGTCCATCTGTGTGTTTACATCCCGGTTTTGCTTTTGGGGATTTTGCTGAACGCGTTGGCATTGTGGGTGTTCTGGTGCACACTCGACAAATGGACAGAAACCAGAGTATACATGGTTAACTTGGCTGTGGCTGACTGCTTGCTGCTCTTTACTTTGCCTTTTAAAACTTTATTCCAGTTCCATCAGCTGAAGGTAGGTAGATGGTGCCTGGCTCTGGAAGGTGGCTATTTCATAAACCGCCTAATGAGCATCGGTATCATCACTGTTGTAGCAGCTGACAGGTACCTTGCAATCAGGTACCCTTTGAAAGCCAAGGTGCTGAGGTTGCCACTGAAGGTGGCTTTTGCCTCTGGATTTCTTTGGATAGTCATCGTCTGTGTGATGTCCCCCATTAAAAAGTTAGAGGACCGAGAAGAAGACGAACTTTGCTTTGAAAAATCTTCCGTTAAGCCCTCAGTGATCACATTGTGTGCTATTATCGTAGGGTTTTTCATACCATTGACCATCTTGAGTTATTGCTCCATACAAGTCATTGCAGAACTCATGAGAAAGAAGAACGAAAACTGTCACAAGGAAAAGGTAATCAGGAAGGCTGTCTACATTGTGTCTGCAAACATGGCTGTGTTCATCGTATGCTTTTTACCCCTTTACCTTGGGCACCTCCTTCGCTTTATAATGGACTCCATCAGCTACAATTGCTCTGCAATACAGAGGGTTAATAATTTTGTTCACGTTGCCTCAGTCCTCACAAACACAAACTGCTGCCTGGATGCTATTTTTTACTACTTCGTCAACAAGGAATTTAAGGAAGCATCTCCCAAGCTAGCAAAGTCCAAATCTGAAGCCAGTGAGAAGCTGAAATTTAGCTCCCATGCATAATACATCAGTGCAAAACACATGCAGCATTTTATACTTGCTATGTTCAAGTTCAACTGTGACTTGGTCTTGATGATCTTGGAGGTCTTTTCCAACGTTAATGATTCTATGATTCAATAGCAGGCTCTCACACTTTTTTTGTGTGTGAGTGGGATGGAGGGACTTTCTGTTAATGGGAAAGATTCAGACACATGAAAATTAGCCCTGACTCAGACAGCCACAGCAGTCCAGATCCTGATGTAGTGATCTAGGTTGCCACTGATCATTCTCTGCCTTACGCAAATTTGAGTGAAACGATAGCTTCCCCTGCAAAAACTGTCTTTTATTCTCACAGAAAACCCCAAACAAGTACAGACAGTAGTAAAGGGGTGGGGTTTTTTTGTTCCTTTCCCCCACCTTGGATCAGTTTTTATGCAGCTGTAGCTCTGACAAAGAAACAGAGGTTATTCCAAATATCAGAAAAGAAAAAAGTCAAAGTGAAACCACTGCAGGAAAAGAAAGGAGGATGTTTTTGTAAATCACAAACGTCTTGGTTTTCAGTTGGTAATAATGCACAATCATAGGAGCAGAGGCAGATTTAGCCTGCTTTAGACAACTTTACAGCACCATTCATGCTACATAACAGCTACAAAATGCTCAACAATTGTAATACAATGTCAGAAGAAATTGCAATTTCTTGTACTGGGGAAAAACTTTACATCAAAAGTGCTTGAGTCAAATGGCATTAAAAATATTATGCAAAGAGTTGGGGCGGGGCAGTGGGAATAAGGACTCTGTATTGGGGGTCTATTCAACCTTATAACGTAAAGGACTGTCTAAAGAAAGTGGCACCAAGCTGTTCCAAATAAATCAACATAAATAAAGTCATGTTACTGGCACAGAGCTCAGACTCTTAATGAGTTAAATGGAAAAGGCATGAGATCGGGTGGCACAGGACCTGCTCTGCTGCCTATCCCCAAGATGGACAGCTCATCCTCCGCTGTCCAAGTGAGGGGCAGGGGGTATGGGCTGCAACAGAGATTGGGATTTTCAAAAGCAATGCACTGCATGCCACCCTGCAATGCACTTACCCACAAACAGTTAAGTAGGTAGAACCACTAACTAGCCTCGGACCACGTGCCCCTTTGTGGGACACCAGGCACATACCTCCACCCAAGCCTCCCAACCCCAGGCTGGGCTTCCATCTGTCTGCACGTGCCGGGCCAAATGCTGCCACCACCTAAGCAGTCTTACAGCCGCACACCCAGCTCGGCCTTTGTATCTCCTCCTACTCAAGGCACATGCCAAAAAGAGGAAACCTCATGGAGAGATCCTGCTGCATACAATCATTGAGCAGAGCCGACCATCCACACAGGCAGTGACTGTGCTGCTGCCCAGCAAAGCCCACGTCACCTGCACAGGACACTAGCAAAGGTATGTAGGCTTCTCACCACACTTGGCAGAGATTCAGGTAGAAACAGAGAGATCTGCTCTGTCATCACCAAAATCTGAAAGCGGGATCTTGCATTCGCTGACTGCACACTGGGTAGGGGGAGTAGGAAAGGATCTGACTGCAAAAAAGACCTTTTAAGGAAGTTGTTTTCTCCCCTTTTCTACGTTTACTTTGAAGAGATCAAAGCAGCCATGAATGGCACGGTGCATGCAGAGAGGGACTTTTTACAAGGGCACACAGGGTAATGGCTTTAAACTGAAAGAAGGTAGATTTAGATTAGACATAAGGAATAAATTATTTACTGTGAGGGTGGTGAGACAATGGAATAGGTTGCCCAGAGCAGCTGTGGCTGCCCCCTACCTGCAAGGCCAGGCTGGATGGGGCTTTGAGCAACCTGGTGGAAGATGTCCCTGCCTGTGGCAGGGAGGTTGGAACTAGATGATCTTTAAGGTCCCTTCCAACCCAAACCATTCTGTGATTCTATAATTTCTTCCCAGCTCAGCCCAAGGTGCCCCACAGCCCTGGCAGTGATTTCACACTGCTCAGCCTGGTGCAACGGGTCTCATATTTTGCCTTGCCCAGCCTTGTGTGTGTGGATATCCTGTGTCGCTGTAGTAACATATGCACCTTTGTGACTTTAATTTGATGAACTGTTCCCCAATAAGGCCAAACATAGCTTTAAGGTTTCCTCCCTGGAGTGGGATTTGTGTGCTGAGACCACAGTGATTTGAGAGATGACTTGATTGCCAGAGTGTTTTTTCTATACCTGCAATCTTACCAACATGGGTGTGAACTCTTCAGAGGTGAAAGCTCTGCACAAACTGAACTGCTATTTCAGATGCACAGGAAAAAAATACATCTCCTCCAGTAACCGCAAATTAAATGGGTGGAGGAGATACAAAGCAGCCTACAAACAATGCATTTCTGAGTAGATTTTGCTAAGCTGTGTCACTCTAAGTAACATCCCTTCCTCTAGCAGCCATTCTCCCAGAAATATGTAGCATGAATGCTTGGCCAAAGATGGCCAAACTTCCTCACCACAGAAACCTCACACCAAAGCCTCTGTACAACAGTGAGTCCTCAGGTGCTTACTGAGGTTTGGAGAGGGAGGGAAGGAGCCTCAGAGGGGCTGTGGAACAGACAGTTTGATTGTGCCAGTGCAGGATGGTGCTGGGCAGGGAGTGCAGGGATGGTCCTCGCTGCCACAGTCAGACTCTGCAGCAGCTCTGAGCAGGACCACCACCACTCCTAATGACTGCCCAGGAGTAGCTGGTTAATGAGGACAAAGAGGCAGGAGAGCATGTTTCACTCTCATAAAAGAGCTGTGATAAATTATCCCTTTGACATAGAACCAAACCCTCTGTTCTTCACCATTTGAGCAGGGTTTATCCAAGTACAGGGCAGTCAGGGATTCGGACATGTTGAAGCTGAAATATGCGGCACGAGGACCAAGAAGCCACCTCACGCTCTCCAGCTAGAAAACCAGATTATGCTGCTCTGTTTACCTACCTTTTTTTTTTTTTTTTTTCCTCTTTTTTTCCACCTGGGGCTTTTTTGGGTGATTTAGTAGAAGGAGCACCCTCTAAATTCATAACCCATCTGGCCAAGCTCTCCCACACCATACAGACAGGAGCTAACGGATGAATTAAGCAGTGAGGAGGCAGCAGCAATCTACAGTAGCAGGTATTTCTGGTGGGCTCAGCAACCTCTGGGAGACATGGGGGATCCAAGCACTTGCCAACAAGGTACCAATTCTTCCACCACTGGCTGGAAGGCAGACAGCCCACACCCCAGGCACAGACAGACTGTAACTATCCAGGTGGAGCAGGCCTTGCCTGGCTTGCTTTGACCTTGATGCAAAAAACTAGGAATCTCATCACAGCAACCAAGCTTTCAAGTACCTGCAACTTAACTGGCTTAGCATAGGATGCGCTCTGTCTTTCAAACTTTCCAAATTTCTCTGGAGCCAAGTCTGGACAACATTAACCTCACACTTTCCAAGCAATGAGGGTACAGGTGTGAGGAGGGCTGGAACCTACACCTCATAGGCTGGCCAAAGCAAGTATCTCCCACCATGCATGACTGCATCCTGCCTTCCTCAGGCCACACTGCCCTCCCAGCAGCTGCAGGACACAGCTAGGCACAAACATCTTGCACTGGCATCTCCTATGTTATATTAGTTCTAATTCTATGAACTGATGACAGAGCCAGTTTGACACCCTTCACAAGTACTGATGGACTTGTTACAAAAACAGATCACTTGAAAGCAGGACTGAAGATGCTGCAGCACACTGGAGGTGACTGCACAGACACAGAGTGCAGGAACACATCCAAACCTCCATCTAACTTTCATGTTGTTGCTCACAGAGGTCTGGTAATGTCTTACACCACTTTTCTTCCTTGGGGCTTTCCATTTGCTGTTGCTGTCACATGTTAAATGAACCCTGATGCCAAGTACTGAACCAGGGCAGCAGATCGAAAAATGAGAGTTCAGCTGAATGTCAGGTGTGGGTGGAAAGTGTGAAAGCTGTCACCAAAAAATTGTGACATACTTTAAAGATACTTTCATCAAAGACAGAAAAGAGGACACTTCTGAGGAAATGAAAATCAGCGTGGCTCATTATCGTTAGCTTGAGATAGAAGCGTTCCTATGTCTCAGTTTCTCAATGAATGCTCAGAAACATCACCGAGTCACTCCAATGGGATGAGCTGTGCCATGTGGGCACTGCGTGCACCAGCCATGGACAGCAAATTGGGCAGAAGTGTTGACTTGCTCGAGGGTAGCAAGGCTCTGCAGAGGGATCTGGACAGGCTGCATCGATGGGCTGAGGTCAATTGTATGAGGTTCAACAAGGCCAAGTGCCAGGTCCTGCACTTGGGTCACAACAACCCCATGCAGCGCTACAGGCTTGGGGATGAGTGGCTGGAAAGCTGCCCAGCAGAAAAGGACCTGGGGGTGCTGGTCAACAGCCAGCTGAACATGAGCCAGCAGTGTGCCCAGGTGGCCAAGAAGGCCAAACAGCATCCTGGCCTATATCAGAAACAGTATGGCCAGCAGGAGTAGGGAAGTGATCATGCCCCTGTACTCAGCACTGGTGAGACCACACCTCAAGTACTGTGTCCAGTTTTGGGCCCCTCACTACAAAAAGGACACTGAGGTGCTGAAGCATGTCCAAAGAAGGGCAACAAAGCTGGTGAAGGGCCTGGAGAACAGGTAAAGGACCTGTTTTTGTGACCTTATTATATTAAACAGTAATTCCCCATTAAGCCTTAATGTTAATATCTGACATCCAGACTGAAACAAATCAAGTTCAGAAACTGGAAAGGATATCTTAGTTTTTGTTTCCCTTTTATTATCTGTGAAAGTTTGTGTGTGGAGAGGCTGAGGAAACTGGGGTCGTTTAACCTGGAGAAGAGGAGGCTGACAGGAGACTTTATTGCTTTCTACAACTACCTGAAAGGAGGTTGTAGCGAGGTGGGTCTTGGTCTCTTCTCCCAAGTAACAAGCGATAGGATAAGAGGAAATGGCCTGAAGTTGTGCCAGGGGAGGTTTAGAGTGGATATTAGGAAA